AGCAGCAGCGCCCACGGCGGCGGCCGCGAGGACGGCCGCGCGAGCCACCCGCCGAGGTTGTCGAGCGTCTGGCCGGCGCCGACCGCGCGCGCCCGCCACTGGCGCACGCGGAAGCGCATCACCTCGACCGTGTCATCGTCGACGTCGGCGAGGCCCTTGTCGGCGGCGAGCGAGATGACTTGGTTGAACTTGTCGCTCATGAGCACGAGCCTGTACATGGCAATGGCGTACGGTGAGTCGGCCTAGAATTGGATGTTAGCTGGTAAGACGATGTGAGTGGTGATAAGCGGACAGTGCAATACTGTCTTTGCACAGGTCTAGCACCCGGAGCCGGACAATGACCTCATGGGTGGCTCGACGAGGCAGCATGGGAAAACGCACCAGATACGACGGCCGCAGACTAAACGTGTGAGGCGCAAAGTTGGCCGGCAAGCCCGCCATGGCGTTCCACTGGCGATCGAGCACGACAACGCTGCACATGAGCGTGTACGCCTCCTTGCGCTGCGCCTCGGTGGCCAGCATCTGCTCCACGACGTCGCCGCTGTGGATGCCGAGCTCCATCAGTATGCGTCCGGCGCTGCCAAACATGCGGAGGGCCAGCTGCGCGCGCTCTTCAAAGATGTAGTAGTGACCCTGGAGACCAAGTCAGCACTGGAGCCATGCATATGCATCAGCCGTGTACATACCAGCAGCAGGGCGATTGTGACGTGCTTCATGGTCGGCGGCGTGCTGGATGTGATGGAGGCGTTCACGGCGCACTGCACGGCGGCGCGCAAGGTGTCTGGCGGTATCGAGCACAGCCCGTCCGTTCGAGACCGGGAGGCAATACCTAGTATCAGATTGAACATGATGAGGTGGTTATACTCGGACTGCTGCTGCTGCTGCTGCTGCGCGCCGCCATCCAGCGGGGAGTCCGCGTCGTACCAGGCCGCCAGCTGGTCCTGCATGCTGGCCATGTTGACAAAGGCGTGCAGCGCCCCGACGGCTTCCCCGTAGACGGACAGGGCCTCCCTCGCCTCGGCCAGGGTCAGGCGGGACTGGAACTGCCGCAGGTGGTGCTGGTCCTCGGCGCGGCACGGCGGCCGCCACGGGCGGCGCGCCTCCGACAGCGCGTGGTCTTGGTCGAAGCTCGGCAGAACCGGCTTGTGCGGCGCGGGCCCGAGGTGGCCGCGGTTCCGCAGCGTCATGCGTACGACGTTCATGCTGTACTCGGGGCTTGTGGGCCCGCAGAACCCGCTGTGGTGCTCCGCTCCCGTGTCACCGGCGGCGGCGGCAGGGAGCAGCGGGTCCGGATAGGGCTGCCGCGGGGCCGCAGCGTGTGCTGCAGCATCCTGCCCAGGCGCCTCCCCCTTTTGACTGTAGGATTCCAGCACGGTTTCCACATGGAGAATCTGTGCCCGTAGACTGGCCACCACGCCGTGAAGAGAGGATGGGTCGCTGCGGGGCGGGCGGAAAATGGTACGTTAGTTTTCAGCTGGCCGAGAAATATTGCGTAGCCAGGGGATTGGTGCTTTATTACGATGGTAGGATTGGGTCCGCCGCCTCGACATGAGACGGAAGTCCCTGTGCTTCCCCGGCGGGGTCGGGTCGGCGAGTTCCGGCGGCGGCGGCGGCGGATCCGGCATGCGGCACCGGCGCGTACTCGCCGTCGTAGATGCACTGGCGCAAGCGGTCCTCGCAGTAGGAACACGGCAGCCTGCCGTCGCACTTTCCTTTCCGACGGCGACAGACGGTGCAGGCGCGCAGGGCGTACGGCGCCCGACGCTTGGGGGAGATGGTGGTGGTCGCGGTCGATCCGCCGGTCCTCTTGGCTCCGCGGCGATCCATGGCGTCTGCGCGCAGATGAGATGAGATGGCGTGAACGGTGTGAGGGTAAACAAAACGGCTGGTGGCTGTGGTTTCCGAAGAGAAAAAAGGGTGTCTTGAGCGAGTCGGTCCAGGGTCATGCCGGTTGTTCCGACGGAAAGTGGGCACTTTTCTTGCCTCGGGCCGCTTTGGGGAAAGAAGCATATGGTCAAAGTTGTATATAAGGTATTATCGTACCTTGAATAAAATTGCTTGTAGGCACAAAATATGTAGGTACCTGACCGGCTGTGCTCTTTGGTGGCCGTGATCTATCATCATTGGCTTACTCCAGATTCATATATAGGGAAGCAAAGTCCTCTGACTTCCCTTGGATGTTTGCAATAAATCACCTGTAAATCTGCTGTTAGTTAGATTCTAGAGCTTCATTCTAGGCCAACGCACCTGTGATATCCAGCGAGAAGCTGTCTTTGATGGTGGAATGGTTCATTTCTTATCCAAGATTCCATTCAGCTGAACCCCGCGAAATGTCCTTGTTTACTACCACTGGCTGCGCTGGTGTACCGTATTTTATTTGGGACGTTTTCTGACAATGCGACAAGTTTTGCAGAAATGAATCAAACCAGCTATAAATCTTCAAGGGTCAAGGGTAAGTGCGTGGCGCAACTGATCGGATCGCGTCCCTTGTCGCGTCCCACTTCGCGCCCGCTATCAGCCCCTCCCAACATATTAATGAGTTCTGCCCAACTTCCAGTTTGCCATCCGCTTCTTTATCCCCCCACGCTGTCGGTCGCCTTGCTCTCTCTTTCGCCCGTACATGATATCGATTTTGTCGCTCTTGGCGTCCGCGATACATCATGAACGGCTCTTTTGACCGTCTGCCGGCGGAGCTGCGTCACAACATCTGGCAGCTGGTCCTCGGTGATGGCGACCCCGCCACCATGGTGCCGTTTCTCACCTCGCGACCATATATGCTCGAGGAGGAAGACGATGACGATGATATGATGATGGGCGCCGAGGATGCCGGTGAGATCCTGTCCGAGGAGCAGTTTGAACAGATCCGCCAGCTCGCCCTGCAGCAGGTCGCCGTCGATAACGAGAATGCTGCCACCGGTCCGGTGGCGCCTGCGCCGACGACGCTGCCGAGTAACGGCATCGTTAGAGCAGTCAACAACGAAGACGACCAAGGAGGTAACGGGGCAGCCAGCGGAGAGGCTCATTCGCAGGCTGCAGTCGACGCTGCCCGGGCAGAGATAGAGGAACAAATGTACAATGGCTATGACGACGACGACCAAGATATCGATATCGATCTCGACGATGACGACGCCGAGAGCTTCGATACCGACGTTGGCGACTTTTTCGAAAGCGGAAATCCCTACGGCCAGGAACGCGCTTGGGACGACGAGGTGGTCATTCCCGTCTACGCGCCGCCTCTTCTCCTCATCAACCGCGAGGCGCGCCACCTCGCGCTCCGCTGGCTCGCCAAGCACAACATCCAGCTGACGCGCAACACTATTGCCAAGGGCGAGATTGACAGCGGGTTCGTGACCAAGCCCGGCAGCCTGCCCGCGCTGGTGCGCAAGTACGACCCGGCGCGCGACCACCTGTACGTGGACCGGCGCTACTGGCGGCGCTTCTGCGACCGTCTGCAGATGCCGCACATGATACGGCCGCCGAGCGAGCTGGGGGACGCCGAGGATGCCGACGAGGAGCCGCCGGAGCCGGTGCACGACATTGGCGAGACCATCCAGAACCTGGCGCTGCCGGCGTTTACCCTGTACCACGGCGTCGGCACGGTGGGCCACATGCTGCAGTTCCTGCCCAACATCAAGCAGGTGGCGTGCATCTGGGGCGACCTGCCCGGCCAGGCGTGGCAGCCCGAGGTTACGTACGAGACGGTGCAGCGCGACGGCCAGGCCAAGACGCAGGTCACGCTGCTGCTCACGCCGCGCTGGGACCACGTCCGCATCAGCGAGAAGCTGTCCCAGGCCGAGCTCGACAGGCGCCAGGTGGACACGGATCGCATCAACGCGGAGCGGGACCAGGGCCGCCAGGCGAAGCAGGAGAGGAGGGCGCGGGGCGAGGTCGCCGCCGACGACGACGAGGATGATAATGATGATGATGATGACGACGACGATGACGACGAGGATATGGAGGATGAGGGCACAGGGCCGCTCGTCACCATGTGTATAAGGGATCCCACCGACGCCGAGTCCGTCTATTACGAAAAGGGGTACCTGAGCAGTTGGCTGAATGATATATATAACGAGCTGTCCATCTGCGAACTTCCGGAACATGTCACGGACGAGTATGACGGGTCCGTCACGCTGTCGATTGTTCCCTGCAGCGCAGTCTGTCCTTCGGCCACGCAGCCGCCTGCGGCTACACAGCCTGCGGCGGGCCTTGTCTGAGCCGTGCATTTGTCCGCGTGGTATATAATGGTCAGCATATAGTAAAATCGATCTACTGTGTGCTCTTTTGCGATTTGGCTCACGGCAATGTGTCGCATCTCCCAGATGCTTTCCTCTTTTTGTGGCTGCTGCAAGCTGTCCGCATTGTGAAGACGATGTTTGTCGACCGCCCTCCACATGTGAACACAGAGAGGTTGTGACAAGGAAACATGATGGTAGAAAATTGACTGTTGATGTTTTACTTTGCCTTCTTTGTTGATACGTTGACAGATGCAAATCAACGCCTAAATACAGTCGGCGTCTCGTACTTGACTCTAAACAGCTACTGTCAGGACTGCCAGAATAGGCACACAGTATCAGGGGAATCTGGTTGGTTAATGACTCTCTAACTATTAGTATGTACGCCGGTAGATATATGATGTTTGACAGAGGATCAGTCTTCCTGCTTTCCATGCGGCAGGTACGCATTCATCAAGTGGCAACTGCCTCGAGTTGGAGGCTGTGAAACCCGCGACTGCAAGGTGAGCTGCTGCTTTTGTGCCTACACAACACCTGCAAACTTGACTTTACATCAACTGTATACAATATCTGCAGCCTTCTCTTCATATCAACTTGGACAACAAAGGTACCGCACGACGACGAACCCGGCAGACTTTGAGGATGTCGTTCGCGGAGAGCAGCTCGAAGCAGCTCGCATTCCGCTCTCGCGGTCTCTACTATCACCAAGAGCAGAGAATTGACAATGATTTTGATGGTTTCTGCAGGAATGTCATCGACCGTATCCCTGCTGACCCAGACGAATACCAAAGTAACATTACAGAGGCGGCACACTGGTCATCGGGTTCTATTTTTGCTAACGAATGGGCACAGACTGGCTAATGGAAAAGCGAGGTTATTTTGACAGGATCGCAGCATACGAGGAAGGGAGGAGCTTCACCCTGACTACTGAGAAGCGACAAGGGTACTGGGGTTCTGGGAGCATGATCATGGCACTTCCTCTCGCCTTCGACTGGAAGCAGGATCACATCGTCATCGTCAACCTAGATGCCGAGGTGTTGACCATACAGTTCGGCGCACATTTTGACCTTTCCAACTTGCCGCGCGGGACCACGTCGTGGAAAAATGCCATAGTACCCAGCATATATCGGCAATACCCGACCGTGTCGCTCGACTTCTGTGGCACGGATCAGATGGCTGAGTCGGCCGTGGTACGGCGAACGCCAACACGGCTCTTGGAAGGAGATAGAGTGGTTCGCGTTGTTCCAAACAGTAGTCTGTCTAGTGGGCGTGATGTTTTTCTCACCCATGCACTGACGGCAATCTATGGCGCCTACCACACAGAGATTACACGTTTTGGCCTCGAGTGGCAGCCCGATTCATTCGTGTTGCGCGAGTTTGTATTCGCTATTCTATCTATCGCATCAGGTGAAGCAGAATTTATCTCCCCCAATTACTGTCGTGCCCCTCTTGGTCGTCAATTGCCACGCGGATGGTGTGATGTCTGGTTCCCACGACGAGGGGCCAGTCCGGCAGCGGAGCGCTTGGCCACGTTTGGCTCATTATTCCACGAAGAGGGGCAAAAGGCTGGTGCGGCCCCAGCTGAGAATATATACTGGATGAAGGGGGTGGTGGTGAAGGTCTCGACTGTGGTTGATGGGGTAGCGATCCAAGAAGCAGTTGCCTGGGGGCAAGCGCAAGGGAAGCATGCGTTTCTGGTGGTTGTGATTTCCATCTATGAGATTTGCTTTGCGGAGGTGCATACGGGCGACGACAAGCAGCTAGTTATTCGATTCAGCGAAGCGGTGAAGCTTTCGCCGCTGCGATGGGAAGAGTGCGTCGCGCTGCACCCTCTTACCCGACCTCAGTCTAGTGAGGAAGCTGGCATGGACTTGACGCCGGGCGAGACGATTACCTACCGTTACTTTACTGGAACGGCGCCAGGACTTGAGCAGCACTACACGGGCCTGGCAGCGCTGGTCAAGTTTTTGAAAGTGGCAATGATACGTGGTATTCCCCCGCAAAGAAGAAGCGCGCTACCGCCAGAGATTCTGGCACGGATCATGAGCTACACAGACAAAAGGACACTGGAGAAGTGCATGCGACTGTCGCAAACGCTATGTGGCTTTGGGTTTGCGGATTTCCGAATCGACGAGGAGTGGAAGATTGCGGGACTACCAGAAGCACTGAGAATCGAAGGCTGGGAGGATTCCACAGAAGGGCTGCTCTATTTTCGTGTCGCGAGACAATCGACGGGCGAGATTGTCAGGCTGGTGCAAGCCGTGCCTAGGGTAGCAGCAACGAGGGGATGGTGCTGGCTGCCTCTAATAACGGGAAGAGGAACGCGTGGAGTCTTGATGGACAGGGTGCCGTTGAGATTTGACTCGACGAGGCCTCAACGCACTATCGGTTATTAACGACATTTATCGACGTCGAGTGTCAGGAGGATGACGGCGGAATACGTTGCTCCATCGGGCGGGACGACGCGGGTATCCAAGTTGACCATTTGTATTGGAAACCGTGTCTTGTGTGCGGCAACGAGCACGTTTCAATAGATTGCAGCGCCGTGGCCAGGCTCCCACGTTGGCTGTTGCCGTGTTGCCCTGCGTGGTTTATGCGGTGGCGCGGGAAATGGGAGCGGGCCGCGACATAACATGATGGGCGCGGCGGTTTGTGAATCAGGATGACTGTCTGAAAAGGAGATGAGTTGCGCGGGCCATGGCCGAGGGACCGTCGGGTTGATGGTTGATGGCTGATGGCGTTGATGACTTGGAAAAGGAGAAACAAGCGCCATGTCGCACATTGGAGAAATAGGTGAGCAAGTTTTCAAGCTTGGACATTGGCGTCATGGCACCAGAGCGGGATTTGTGCCAGGCACAAGCGTCGATGGAGTACATGCGGGGCAGGTATCCGGCACTAATACAGAAACCAATAAAGTACATGTACATCAGGTCCCCTTTAGACTATGGCTCGCGCCATCGGCTCCGTAGTGTGACGCCTTTGCCTTGCAGCCGCTCGTTTGAGGGGTGAATTATTAATTATTAATTAACAGACGTTGCGCTGACCCTTTTGTCCTTTTGTCCCTTTCATTGTCTTCTGCCACGAATATACAAAAAGCACGCCTCGTCCCTTCTCCCGCCCAAACAAACTACTCTCAACCAAACATCTCCCCCGATCAACTTTGCAACCTTGGACCACCGACCGACTCCCTCCAAATCAACCCCGCATCACCAACCACCAACCCACCAACCCCCCAAAAGGCAGGCCATGGCTTCCCACACGTACGAGTTCAACGTCACCATGACCTGCGGCGGCTGCTCCGGCGCCATCGACCGCGTCCTGAAGAAGCTCGACGGTGCGTCTTGTTCCTTGTCTTCTTCGCCCCCGCCCCTGCCGCGCACGCACATGGCTAACTTTTTTTTCCAACCGGGCAGGCGTCGAGAGCTACGAAGTCTCCCTCGAGAACCAGAGCGCCAAGGTCGTCACCGAGCTCCCCTACGAGACGGTCCTCACCAAGATTGCCAAGACAGGCAAGAAGATCAACTCGGCCAAGGCGGACGGCGTCGAGCAGTCCATCGAGGTGCCCGCCGCGGCGTGAGGGAGTGCCGACGGCAGAAGAAATGATACCATGGTGGAAGGGAAGATTGTGCGAATGGGGGGGAGGACCTTGAAACTACATAGCGACACCTGACAGTATTTGGAGATTTTTTTCAATAACAAAAATACACCGTCAATAAATACCCTCTTTGTCCACGTGCTCTGCCTCAACTTGCCAGCCATGGGGGCGCGTGGTCTGAAGACAACGCTGCACGCCAAGAAATGGCAATAACAGTGGTTATATCGGAAGGACGGGGCTAGTCCAATCATGGTCAATTATACTTGTGCATTTGATGTATTATAGCGAGCTGATCAGTCTGGCATTGGTATCTCGATGACCGTCTTCAGCCGCGGCAGCCAAAGCTGTAGCAGTTATCCACAGCTTGATACGCCTTCAAACGCTCTTCATCGTTCTTGCAAGGCTGGCGTACAGGCCGTGTATATATGCTTGGACGGAGACGGTTGCTGGTGCCCAGAGAGGAGCGGGACGAGGTCGCGGCGGTAACGGACCGGCACGAAGTCAAGGTTCGGAGGTGCGCCGAGGTACCGGGGGGGGGGGGGGGGGCGGTGATGTTGTACAAACCCCCGTATACGAATGGCGGCGACGCCCGAGACACCGGGCTCGATTTGCGGCCGGGCGCACAAGGTCCTGGTGGTAGGTATTCCGCGGGACGGGTATGACATGAAGTGGGAATCCTGGGACATGTAAGCCTATTTCGCAGGCACTTGGAACCCTTGCCCCGATCCGAAGAATGACGGACGTGGCGCCTGCACGGCATTGCATCGACGTCGACATGTTCTTGTCGAAAGCGGCTGTCATGCTGCAGACACGAGGGAAGCAAGGCAAGCCTTGTGCTCCTGAGGCTGCGAGAATGGCATGCCGGGGTGGGGGGGGGAGGGATCTGTGAGACTTAGGGCAAGATAGAGCACCAGCATTCATGTGGGTGCCCACCACTTTTACTAGCGCACATAGTAAATATGTGATAGTTATAGGCCCACTTTACTTTACACTAAATTACTTCTTCTCTATCTATAGGTCCTAGGTTTAACTCCCTATAATATTACTAGCTATAAGCTACTCCCTAAAAATAAAGGTAGAAGTAGAACTAATAGAGCTTATTTTTACCTCTATAGAAGCTAGCTACTTAGAAG